GCTACAAGTTCAAATTTTATTGTTTAATATTGTTTGTATCATCATTAAGGCGCAATCTTCTTGCAAGTAAAATTACTTAGTTCCTAATTGATTTGGTATTTTATATTATTTGTACTACTTAAAATGTTGGTAAATGTAGAATTGAAAAATGAGAAAATTTGTTTAATACTTTTATATTAGGTACTTTAAAGTATTTCAGAGCTATGAATAGGGGTGGATTTTTATGACCTCAAACATTGCCAAAAATGATCAATAAAATGCTCTTAAAATGCTTTAAAATGCCCTATACACGAAGAAAAATAATGTAAAAAATTTGATCAAAACCACTTCAGATGAATAACTCAAGGTGTTGGATAAGTTACTGAGGTAATCGAGGCTTCTTCCTTTTGTTCAAGTGAACTCGGTTTGCAAATTTTGGGTTTGGACTGTTCTTCAAAAAAAAATCTCTGCCTTTATTTATTGCGAAATCGGTCGAACTGAGAATGGTGCCTATAAGCATCACAGGAACTTTAGATTACATAGTACTGACAACAGCTGACATTTCAATATAGGAGCGAAGAAATCGAATAGGCTACACAGGAATCCTGTGGTGAACATTTGTTGCACCTCTTAAATATTATTTGAAGCAAGTACCAATAAAATAATATTAAAATCGATGAAATCAGCAAAAAATGCAGCAAAAATGACATACAATGGTAAAAAAAAATCTATGAAAAATGCAACAAGAAAATGACAAAATGGGTCATTTCATTTTGCCATATTATAAAATGAATTTCTATACGAAACAGCATTGTTCTAAAGTAAAAAGAAAAAAATGACATTTCATTAAAATCTTCCCCCTAGTTATGAATAATTGAAGTTTAAGTAGATGTGTATTTATTTTATGCTAAATGATAAGTTTCAATGGTATGTAAATGTTCAGAATTATTGGATACTTGTGACAAACAGTTTAGTATTGTATTACATAGTGGTGGTTTGAATTTTTTTTGTACTTAAAGAAACTCAAGAATAACTTTAAAAACTGTATTTATTTATTTATTTATTTATTTATTTATTGGGGGGGGGGTGCGTGTAAAAGGGAATAAGTCAAGTTTTTGTCCAGAACGAGTATGCCAGAACATTGCTTTACTACAATACAATCATTCTGTATATGGGGGTAAGTGACATGTCAATTTTGTCAATAAAGTTTAATGGCAAAATTGAAATGTTACTTATTCCCCTATACACAATTATGGTATTGTAGTAAAGCCTGTTCTAGCATACTCGTTCTGGATGAAAACTGACTTATTCCCTTTTACCTGCGCACCAGCCATTTATTTTAAATGGGTGTTCAGCTCTTAAGTACAAAAATACTTAAGTGTTGCCTGTTGAATAGAGTGACAAAGGTATAGATTTATAATGAATATACTTTTTTCTTTCTTTTTTTTTTCAGTAGTTTTCATTTTAATGCATATCATTTTAAATGTTGAAAACAATTATAAAAAAACACATCTCAAAAACAATGTTCAATTCATAAAACAATATTGTACTTATTTTCTTCTGTGTTCAAGTGTTCTTTTTATGCAAATATTAATGTGCAATTTTTTTCTTACACCTAAAACTGAAATAATTACCCTAAAAATTAATGGAATGAAAGTCATTGGGAAATATGTATAAAATGGTATAAACAAAATACAACATATACACTTTAAACACATTAAACTGTTGTACAGATTTGTAATGTTTGTGTTCAGTTTGGAAGGAAGCAGTACATGCAGGGCTGGATTAAGCTGGATGTAGGTCCTAGGCACTTTCTTTTCGTAGACCTCAGAAAAAATTAGAGGCCCGTATTAAACTATTCTTATTAGACTTTTTTGGAATTTTAAAAACAGTAATTTAGAGGAATACAGATAAGAAAATTCATTTGAAATTTACATTGTCTTATGTGAGTGAAAGATTTCCCCCTTTTTTTTTTTTTTTTTTTTTTTTTTTTTTTTTTTTTTTTTTTTTTTTTTTTTTTTTTTGGTGCTTAACCTTCATTTTAATTGTAATTTAAAACCAGTACATTTATTTTATACAATTTGGTTTTAAAATAGAACTGTATAATTTTGAAACAAAAACATATTTATTTGAAAATACTTCAAGGAAGCAATAAAACCTAAAAATAATAGACCAATAAGCAAATTTGGCAGAACGAATTACAAAAGAATTTAAATAGAGCAAAATAAACCTTAAGAATTGTGTTTCATTCCTTGGTCGTCACAGAATTTATCAGTACAACTAGATGATTAATGAAGTTATGTTTTTAAAATTAAAAAATCAATAATTTTGTGTACATGTGGTGTGTATATATTTTAGTCCTAAAATCAACTTTTAAATATTTTATCAGGAGACCCTATTGTAGGCCCTGGAGACCGTGCCTAACATGCCTACTGGTTAATCTGGCCCTGAGTATGTATCATACATTATGTCATTAAAGGGGTCGATACAGCTAGGTATGCTCAAAAAAATTTATTATTCGAAAAACTAAATAGAAAAAGTCCATGTCCGTGAACATTTTTTGAAATGTACATTTACAAACTGGTTTTGCAGGCAAATTTTGATAGGATTTGTTTCTATTTTTTGATAAGATTGTGTGTTGTTATTAATAACATAATCTAAATATCATACTTTAGCTACATTGGTTTCTTATTCATGATGTTTTATTATTGAAAAAAATCAGCCATTTACAATATCTAATACATTATGTAGTGTAAAAAACCAAAAATTTTTGGTGGCGTCTGGTTCAAACTTTTCTTTTTCTCTCTTCATCCAAAATATCTTTATTCATTAATTGGAAGACAAGCAAAAAATCCACACAAGTGTTAGTGTGTAAAATCCTTTTGTATTACATGAAGATATATAAAAAATCATCAACATTTTCAATGTGATAGCTGTATCTACACCCTTAAATTGTTATGCTATTGTAAAATAAATATGTTTGTTACGGAAGTACATGTGATGTATTAGTGATTTAGAAACATTGCAAATATTTGTAATGAAATGCTTGATTAAAAATTTTTAAATAATTTTTATGTTTTTGTTAGTATTTCAATTTGCTTAAATTTTGTAAAACGATGAGTGTTTTAATTTAAACATAATTTGCAAGAAAACATATAGAAAGATCTATGTTATTGGTATGTTTTTATTTGTTCATAAACAGACAGGAAGTTACCTTCAATTAAAAACTGCAATCTACAGTATGTTTTTAATTCAGAAGAACTCTAGGTTAATTTATAAAGCACATTTATGAAATTACATCTAGTGTGAAGTGTGTGAGATTGAATTGTTGATCATGATTCCACTTGCAAGAAAGTGAATGTGATTTTTCCTGAAGTAATAGTGCTCTATAAAATATGAGGTGTATACCTTCTGAAATTTAATTTCCAATGTGAGAATGTTGGTTGTTAGTACCTGAACCCTGAGTGTAGTTTTGTGAACAGGACACTTTGTAAATACTTTGTCATCTTGTATCCAGTACATTTTACCAGGTGTAACCAATACACCAAATCACCTTGTAACCAGTACGTTTTAAGAAGATGAAGAATTCTTCAATTTTCTATAAGTGTAATAGATTGACTTAAAGCTATGCTTTTCAAATTAGAAACAACAAATCAAGGGCATTAATAATGGTATTTTTAACAAGTTTAATTGTTGCAAATTTTCTATTATAGACTGTTGCTTTTAAATTGCAAATTAATCAGAAGAGAATACATGTTAGTGAAAAATAACACAAAAACAAGCAGTTATTTGGACTCTTAGGAAATGAAACTCTTGAAAATTATAATTTCCATCCGGATGAGTAAATGTGATTTCTTAGCAATAAGTTTGAGAGTTACTTCAGAGTTCTACCGAGTTTCTTCACATCTCCAAACACCAGATAATTAATCCAATGAAACTTTGGTATAAAGACAAGATATTTCATAAAAGTTTATAAGTAAAACCTCCATATTTGCACATATCTGTGAACAACATGAGAACTTAATGTAATTGATAATCTGAAATTTTGGCTGAAATTTTCATTAATGGCTTCTTTCATTTCGTTATTTGTTAAACTACACGTAGTTTCTCATAATTACGATGCTCAGAAGAAAAACAAACTTCAAGAACTTGCAATGAATTTATTTCGTTGAAGACAAGGATTGTATGTTGAAAGGAAGGAAGATTTTTAAGATCCTCGAAATCATACAATTAATGAAGTCAATACAATTTCACTGGGTAGATTAGTACAGTGGCAATCATTTCACCTTTCTTAACTATTATTAATATTTCTAAAATTAAATTAGGTGGAATTATATAAGAAAGGAGAGAGAAGATTGAAACAATTGAATATTGCAATTGTAATATTCAAAAGTTAGAAGAAACAAGAATGTTGGTGTCAAAATTGGAAGATCAAGAAAGAGAATTATTTTCAAAAATTTGGATTTTTATATTTTATGGTGGAAGATATGTATTCCAATTATGAGTATTGCTATCTGTTATTTGTCACTTTTAGTACATTAGCAAAAGACACAAAATGTGAACATCATAGATTTATACAATATTCTTTTATAACAGATTAATTTAAATATTCTGCTCTACATTAAGTGAAAATTTGTTGCAAACATCCTAGTGTGAGTGTATTAGTGTTGTTTTCAAGTATCCTTGTGTAGTAGTTTCCATCAAATTTCAGAGTATGAAATATCAGTGTAAAAAGAAAAGAATTTCATATGGTTACATGTTTATTGTTGAAATTTTGGTGGTGATTATTCAAATGATTCATTCAATTTGATTTCATATCATTCATTTTATTCAATTCATTTCATTCAATTTGATGGAAATTAATATTTTCAAGGCTCCATTGTTATTTGTTATTAATATTTAAAGTAGTTGTTTCCTATCTGAAATTAGAAATTGCATATAAGACTTTTTCGAACTTGCATAATGTAAATTAAGAATCTAGAAGCTGTAAATGGAAAGTTCACTAGTATGTGTTTTAATAGGATGTGTGCCCCCAGCTTACAAGATTCATATTGTCCAAACAAGGTGATTTTGCTGTTTGGTGTGGGAATACTTTTTGTTCAAGATCTAGGTATGACAGGTATGTTATATTTTAGTTTGATTATATGTTGAATGTAAAGTGGGTGTCAACATGCTTTATCAAAATATAATTGAATATCTACTTGCTATTTCAACAAGGAAAAGTTATTTTGTGATGAGACTACACAATTTTCTTTCTATCTTTATTTTTTTAATTGGGTTGTGTGTTTTCTTGTATTGAATTTATTGTGAAACAATTGGCAATTGTTAGTTGTTTTATATATATCCATTTATCTGTCATTTAAACTATATGACAATGAGACTCAGTTAGATGAGAATTCTAGAAATGATTCATCTGAAGAACAAACTTGTAACAACTACAATTTTGGTCCCTTTTCATTGCAGTTTGTACGAAATAAGTGTACCACTTGGAGATTGTGGTTCTAAATGTATGATAAAATTAATGAATTTTAAATGAGAGCATTGATGTTTTTATAATCAACATTAACATGTGTGATGTGTGCAATGTATTTATATATCAGCAAACTTGTTTTACTGGCGTAGGATAAAAGTGACAATCATTATTGTTGTTGGAAATGTGTAACAACTTTGAAGTAATTGTAGAGTAGATTTTGAAAAAGGAACTATTAATTATATTTATCAGTGGAGATTCAATTGCAAAAAGTCAGCTTAGAAACTGAAATTTGTATTAGTGTATTAAACTTTAGATACTTAAGTTTATTATTCAATTTTAGAAAAGGGATTTTATTAGATGAAGTATTTGAGTCTTTGAAATCAAACTTTTATGAAATAGTTTCGATAATGCTGCAACAAATAAAGTTGTGATTAACTAATCTAGCTGGATTTTGTCTAATGACAATTTGATATTGCTTTGGTGTGTATGGACTGGAACATATTGTGTAGTGGCCTGGAACATTGGAGATGACACATCTGTGTTTGGATCTGGTTCTTCATATTAAGGAGAACAAATGTCATCTGCTGTTTATGCTTCATTTGAGTAAAGATCATTTTAATGTTTGTTTAGTGGTTTTGTAAATTGGTTTGAGTACAGTTACAGTGTTCTGTTGGACAAGATTCCAAACTTACTACACAAGCATTCTATCTCCCGTCTTTGGGATGTATGTACTGATTTTCCTGGTTAGAGGTTGACAACTATCCTGTGTTGAAACACAATATTTTCACTTAACATTTCTTTAATTGTTTGAAAAATATATTAGAAGAGTCATTTCTATGGTTATATGTGGTGGTGTGTGTATGTTCTCGCACATTCACTCTGGTTTGAAAGCATTTTTCTGAAGTATATGTTATGAAATGAATTAAGCATTCTGTATATAATTATATATAATGTCACTATATAATTCTATAAATTGTTACAATGTTAATTCTATTCTATTCCTTTCAACTTCCTGACAACACATATTTTTATACACTATAATTATTCCTTGATCCTTTTGTTCTCAGTCTACTTAATCTTCATCTGCTTAATTTATTTTGTTTCTTATCCCCAAATTCTAATCCCCTTGTACTTGGCATTAGGATGATTATCAAGACAATGCATGCAAACAATTAAGATATTTATGATATTAGCTGTATTTTGTTTTTGACAGATAATGTATTGGATTAGGAAGGTGTAGAAAAAATTTGGGATCAGTTTTCTAAATGTAACAAATTCTTAGTGATTATGTACAAGTCATTTATGTTTGTGTTTTAAGGGTAGAATTGAATTCTCGCATTTCAGGAGGAAGACCTGAAAACATTACCGCATGTCAAAGGTACAAAATATGTTGAAATGGGGAAGTTTGAGATGGAGGTATGGTATCAAAGCCCTTATCCTGAAGAATACGCCCGTGTGCCTAAGTTATGGATATGTGAATTTTGCCTGCGATATATGAAAAGTAGAACGATATTGAAAAGACACATGGTCAAATGTGTTTGGCGGCATCCTCCAGGTGAAGAAGTTTACCGGTAAGTTTTTTTTCTTTGTTCGACTGAATTAAGATTTTAATAAATATTTTAAAATTTAAAAATGTTAAAAAAAAAAGGCAAATTGAGTATAAGCGAATATTTATGGGGAAAATGGCTAAGAGTACAGTTACATCTATCAATCCAATTGAAATGACCATAGTGCAATTTGCAAGTGTTCTTTTATTCTTGAGGAAATATGAAATTTGCAAATTTGCATTACATATATGTATTTATTTTTATTATATATATATTTTTTTTATTTAACATTTTTAATTTATTTAAAGAGTTAGTTATTTTTCAGTAATATAATAAACAACAAGGAATTTCTTTGTTTTTTTATTTGTGTGAGAGCTACTGAATATGTGAAATTAACTCAGCTTGTTAAGGAATATTAAAAATAATAACTGTTTCCTGAGTTTGAAGGTAGGAAAATATAGTCAGGGATGTGATACTTTATTGAGCATTTGCTATAATTTTCTTTGTTTGTTTTTTTGTAAACTACTTCACATACACAATCGTATATTTGAAATACATTTCATTAATTGTTTTCAATAAATATGATGACTTTTATTTATCAGGAAGGACAAGATATCGGTGTGGGAAGTTGATGGCAAGAGGTACAAACAGTATTGTCAAAATCTCTGCCTTTTGGCGAAGTTCTTCCTCGACCACAAGACGTTATACTACGATGTGGAGCCGTTCCTGTTCTATGTGATGACCATTGGTGATTCAGAAGGCTGCCACACCGTCGGATACTTCAGCAAGGTCTGTTTTGTTCTCTTCCACAGATCTAATGTTCATTGCAGAAACTTCTTTCTGAAATGAGCTAACAATTGTAAAAATATTATTTCTAGTGGTAGTAATTCAATCTGCACTATTTCAAAACTTTTTCGTTCTACATTCCGACTAGCATTGCAGCTGCTAGCGGTTTTGAACATGTTTCAGAAAATGTATAGTTGAAAGTTAATGATGAGGGAAGCTTCTGTCTTTTTTTCTGTTTTTGTATGCACATTTTTTATAGTATATTTGTATGCAAGTATGTAGGAAACCTCTCCAAATTGCTGTGAAATTTTCAGGGCTAGTTCAACTTTTATATTGGTTAACAAGTCATGTTTAAAATAATGATAGTGATGAACACTCCATTTGATGTAGTAAGGTCCCTATAAATATGATATTCAGTGAAATTTTTCTGGCGATTTAAGATTATTAAGTATAGGTTGAAGAGATGATATCTCAGTTCATCAATTCAACAATTTTTTTGCAGTAGATAGAGAAGTGAATCTGCCAGAAGTGATGGATGGATTGAATGTTGCACTAATCGAGAGGAATGGGCCTATAAGCTTGGAGCTATTTGTTCTATTTAAAGCCTGTCATTGTCTAGAGAAAAAGATATATATTGAATTAGTATTGTTGAAGAGCATTAAGACTGAATAAAACCAAGGCGTGAAACTAAAACTTGAAAGCCTATTTTAATAGAGTGATTTATAAGAGTGGAACCAAAACCGTTGTTCTTCAGTTACGTATATTGCGGGAACTGGAACCAAATAAAATTGTTTCAGTTCTGGTTATAGTTTATTTAAGATCTACATAATTTCGTGTAACTTGTTACATTGTGTTCACATTTTGAGAAATGACAAATGCATATGTCTTAGTTTTTTGTAGAGCACTCGTTTCTTTTTTAATTTTTTTATTTTAAATTATCCAGGATGTTACTCAGGACAGGAAAGAAGTTGTCAAAAACTTCAATATATGGATTTTCTATGGCATTATTATTAATTTTGAAATAATTTAATAAAAATGTATGAAAACTCAGTATCAATCCCAAAATATTTTACTAACTGCAAGTGAAATATTATTTGAAACAGTTTGATGCCTGAATAAAACTGATTTTAACAGTCCCTTTGGCTTCTAATTGAAACAATCTGTATCATCTTCTGTAATGAAAAAAATTACTGTGCTGGTGCAAGTGTTTTTAAAATCCACAAGAACTTGCAAATTTTGCCCTTAGTATATATGTATTAAAAATAAAATGTGGATGTAATAATGAATTTGTAATAGTAAATGTTATCTAGATATACGTTCAGATTAGGGTGTTACTGTTATTTAAATCGATTGAAGTAAATAGCTGCTTTAAATAATTTCGTGTCAATCGCTGATTTCAATAAAATGTTTTTTTAATCTATGTGTTAAATCAATGGATTTGTTTCATTACACTTAGTTTAATATTTTAAAAGTTAGGTCTTTGTGTTGTCCCACCATCCTTTTAGTTAGTTCGTGATCTGCATTCGTTTATTATCTACACACTCTTAACAATTTATTTGTAACATATTAAATGTGAGAAAAATGAAATAGCTTTAGATTATTATAGTTCTTCCTAACAAAGAAAACCAAGATATAAAATATCACTACTCATAAATTATTAAAATGTAAATTTTATTATAATTTAAAATGTATACAAAATTAAATATTTTATATTATTTCCGTAAAGCTTTTTAACCTTCCTCAATATTAAATTTATCAAATATATTTTTTAAATTTAATGAAAACTAGACATCCTATAATCACTTAGTACATTGTCATAATTTTGTAATAGTGAATTAATTAGAATCAAACATTTTTTAAAATCCAATTCAATTTAATAAATCAGAAGAAAATTATTTTTACTGAAAATTGTATTTAAAATTTAAAATATCGGACTGTTTCTGCATTTATTTAAATATTTGTTTCCATTGCGAGTTTGTTAATCGAGGAAATCATTACCAATTGTGGTAAAGCCATTGTGGTAAATTCCATTTCCTTTGTTGAACCAAAGAGTGAATTCATTTCTTTTGGGAAATATTTGTGAAGACATTTTTTTACGAACTTGTGAAACGGAGAGATGTGAATGGTCTCATACCTACATACAGCATAACGTACAACGAAGTTCGGGAGTGGCCATTAATTAAATATAAAATAATATTGGCTAATATTTAGTACGAATAGGTATTGAAGGAGTCTATAATGGATGAAAATTTCGAATGAACGTGCGTGGAGATCGGAAGCGTTAAACGTTTGGCGAGGTCGTCCTGGGCAGTAAGCGGCCTCAAATGCTGCGCCACCACGGGACCAGAAGCGAAGCGAGTCGCGCCAGGGCCTGCGGCCTAATTTTGGATTTCGGCCAGTGAACCCCACAGCCACAGGAGGGCAGGCGCGCTGCAGTGGAAGGAAAGGCTCCCGCTGCCTCTGGGCTAAGCTGGGCCGGGATAGAATATGATATATGATAGGCCCGGATCAGATCGCGCCAGGCGCTGAGGGTGCCCTCGCCCTTCATCTTCATCTTCATTTTCATCGCCGCCGCGGCAGCGCACCCTCACCGTCAGCCCCGCCCGCGCCCCGTCCTTGCCCCCGCCCC